CGATATATTACGTCGTGTGAATCGGGCTCTAGAATGTTGGGAGGGACCTCTTCAACGATGACAGTGGCCTCTTGAACGGTGGGAGGGGACTCTTGAGGGATGATAGGGGCCTCTTGAACGATAGGGGAGGCCTCTTGAACGATGACAGGTGAGTTGGGCTTTTTCTTACGGATTCTTCGCACTATTGGGGTGAACAGAGACGTTATGGCACGTGAACGCCGTCTGATGCGTGAACTCTATCTTGCAAGAAAAACCCGACGTAGAGCATCCACCTTAGCGGGCCGCTAAAAATAAATTAATACATAAATCAGTAAATAAACAGACATAATATTAAACAGTGAGAACAAAGACAAATATATTTCAAACTTGCACGGTATTCACCCAAGTCATTATTATATCATTGTTCACAAAATGCATCAAATAACATTCCAGAAGTAAGTACTTATATAAACATTTAAAAGGACAACATATAGGTTTAGTGCAGGTTCAATGACAACATAAAGAGTAGTAGTTTATTCTTGAAACTTAAATTTTCAACACTGTGAAGTTAGTATTTGTCTTTTGGTTGAAGTAATGCAATTCATTCAAGTTTCAATTTGCAGAAGAAGAATAGAATCTGAAACTTAAAATCGCAACGCGAAAATGACTATCGCAATGCGAATTTGACTATCGCAATGAGAGAATCGCAATGCGAAATGAAAATCTCAACGCGATTATAGTTTCGCGTTGCGATTCTCTCGTTGCGATTTTCATTTCTCGTTGCGATAGTCATTTTTCACGTTGCGATTTTAAGTTTCGTGTTGCGAAAGTAAACTATTTCTTCTTCTGCAAATTGAAACTTGAATGGATTGCATTACTTCAACCAAAAGACAAAATAAAGACAAATACTAACTTCAGAGTATTAAAAAATACACAGTTTAGCAGAATTGACAGCAACCGAACAAATTTACTTTCAACCAAAAGACAAAACAAAGACAAATACTAACTTCACAGTGTTAAAGAATACACAGTTTAGCAGAATTGGCAGCAACCGAACAAATTTACTTTCAACCAAAAGACAAAACAAATACAAATACTAACTTCACAGTGTTAAAGAATACACAGTTTAACAGAATTGGCAGCAACCGAATAATTTTACTTCAACCAAAAGATAAAACAAAAGACAAATATTAACTTCACAGTGTTAAAGAATAAACAGTTTAGCAGTATTGGCAGCAACCGAATAAATTTACTAAGCAATCTAAGTGAAATGGTTAATCTAAGTGAAATTACGAGTAAATTTATCATCAAGTTAAATATGGAAAATCTTAAACTTACCTCGTTGCGTAGAGTATGAACCTCATTCTGCAACGATACTACCATCTCACGTAGAGCGGCAACCTTACCATGTAAAGTAGACACCTCCACACGCCATGCACCATCGTTATCGCGTAGAGTACCGATCTCCTCACGCAAGGCATTGACCTCATCACGTAACTCCCTTGACTCATCCCGTGGAGGTGGAGAACAAGGAGATAGAAGTCGTGGCATCTTTGTCGGTCGCCTATCATGAGGTGATGGTGGAGAAGAGGCTAGATGATGTGACGGGATAGATGATGGCTCTCGTTGTAGAGGTGTATAGTCGGGTCGATCAGGTGATGGCTCTGGGTGAGGTGATGGCTCTCGAAGTGGAGGAAGTGGAGGCTGCTCATCATTCATGCCATCAAAAAAACGCTGACTAGCTTGCCACCAATCAGTGGCAAGCTCAGCCTCCGTGGGTGTCAGTCTCTGTAATGAAGTGTTGGCCTCCTAAAAATATAAAAACTCAAACAAAGTTAAACGTCTACTATTAATAACTTGTTTATATATGATAGTATTTGTGTTAACTTACATTATTTATTGTCGCATATGGTATTAAGTCTTCCCAATCCAACAGACGTTTCCTCTTCCAAGAAATAGCCCTAGGAATATCATTTGAAGTTTTTAATGCATATGTCCGCATACTGGGGAAAGCCTCGAATATCCAAATCTACAAACAATATAATAACAAACATTAGTAATTGCTAAATAATTAATTATAATTTTGAAAACATTATATAGAAATTCTTACCTTAAAGGCCCAAACAAAGCCTGACAAAGTGTATTTCGACCCATCGCCACGCAAACTTTTGCGGTCATCAAAGGCAGACGACAACTTAGTCCAGGTAGCTTTCCATATATACGAACCCCACGGAAATAGATTCCATGCATTTAGGTCCTCTACCAATAATATTAGCTCCTGAGGAATAGGTTGTCTGACCTCTCTGCCTAAAAAGCCGGGATACAAAAGTACTAGAAGGCATACTCGGACAACATCGACGTCATTCATCCGAGTAAAACCATCTTTCTTATTAAACAATTTCTTCAGGTCGTCGACGTGTAAGTTCGGCTTCTCTATTGACTCATCAGGAAAAACCCGGGATAACCATGATGGGCGGGTGATATGACGAGTGTACCGGCCTACATCATCTTGTCCGAATCGTAGACCAGTGATTAAGCAGAACTCCTTCCGCCCAAAACAAGTATACGCCGGTGGAAAATGAAACCATATCTCTTCCTCACCACGTTGTATATTGTCGGGTAGATCGCTAGTCATGGTCTGAAGCCACAAATGGGTCAAATTAGCATATCCACCTGGATGATGTACTCTCAGCCATGGCCCGAAGCAAGTTTCCTCAAACAATTTTCTTTGTGCAGGTGAAAGCTTCAAACCAATTGTAGTGGCTAGGCTAACTTTATTCCTTAATGTCAATGAAGCCGAAAAAAAATTCTACAAAAACAATAAACATACCAAGTTAGATATACCAAAAAATACACTGTGAAGATATACCAAAAACAATAAACATAAAGAGTAGTTGTTTATTCTTGAAACTAAAATTTGCAACACTGTTTTGTCTTTTGGTTGAAATGAAAATCGCAACGAGAGAATGACTATCGCAACGCGGAAATGACTATCGCAACGAGAGAATCGCAACGCGAAATGAAAATCGCAACGAGAGAATCGCAATGCGAAATTAAAATCGCAACGCGAAATGAAAATCGCAATGCGATTTTGGTTTCGCGTTGCGATTATCTCGTTGCGATTTTCATTTCGCGTTGCGATTCTCTCGTTGCGATTTTCATTTCTCTCGTTGCGATAGTCATTTTCGTGTTGCGCTTTTCATTTTCATGTTGCGATTTTAAGTTTAGAAACTATTCTTCTTCTGCAAATTGAAACTTTAATGGATTGCATTATTTCAACCAAAAGACAAAACAAAGACAAATACTAACTTCACAGGGTTAAAGACTAAACAGTTTAGCAGTATTGGCAGCAATCGAATGAATTTAATAAGAAATCTAAGTGAAATAGTTAATCTATTATTGAAATTACCAGTAAACTTATCATCAATTTCAATATGAAAAACTTAAAATAATGCAAAAATTTCAAAATAAAAATAATTAAAAAAACTAACCCTCGGAGGTTGATTTTTCATTTCTGAATGATTGTGAGGGATTTATGACCGTGAATGGTTGTGAGGGATTTCGTCGGAGATGGGGACGGATTTCGCCGTAGAGAGTGAGAGATGGAGATGGGACTGAGTTGTGATTTTAGGTTTTAGGTTATGAGTTGCGATTACGGGATATACTGTGGACGGTTCAGTGTTCCGATAATTAGTATTCGATTTTGGAATTTGAAAATAAAATATGCGTAGCGATTCTAATGGCGCTTTAAAAATCGTGTTGCGATTTACGGATACGCGTTGCGATTTTACGTATTGTAGTTGCGATTTACGGATACGCATTGCGATTTACGTATTCTCGTTGCGATTTACGTATTCTCGTTGCGATTTACAAATACGCGTTGCGATTTACGTATTCTCGTTACGATTTACGGATACGCGTTGCGATTTTATGTATTGTCGTTGCGATTTACGGATACGCGTTGCGATTTTACGGATACTCGTTGCGATAGTCAGAATCGCGTTGCGATTTATATGTTCGCGTTGCGATTTTCATATTCGCGTTGCGATTCTGGAAAATCGCAATACGAATTTGTACTATCGCATTGCGATTCTTCATAATCGCGTTGCGATTCTGGGAATTGATTTGCGATTCTGGAGATCGCGTTGCGATTTTTATTTCGCATTGCGATTTTGTTAGTTATTTTGACAAATCTAAAAAAAATTGGTTAAAATCGTATATTATAATTTATTTTTTGTCACTGAGGTTATTTTTTCATTCTAAAAATATGTACACCTTTAAAACCCTAAATACAGTAACCCATATAAAGTGTTAGATAATTCAGCTTATTTCATCTTCTAGGCAGACCCCAAAACATCATCTCAGGCAGCCGAAGCAGCAACCGAATACGGAGACATGGTACTCATTTTGCTTCAATCGCTTCTTCAGTCAATTCATATTTTGAAGCCTCTTTTTTTTAAAATGATTTTTACGACAATAGAAGCAATTTTAGTTTGTTTGAATGTTTTTCAGGTGAAGTATTCGAAGGAGCCTGATAATCTTACTTGTTACTTTCTTCTCGATAGTTTTACTTTATTTTTAATTCTTGATTTCGTATCTTCTGATCGCGAGTGATTTTGATGATTACATTAAACAATTAACTTCGGTAGCTTTAAGGGTTTTTTTATTCCTTTCTGATTTCACGCTAACGTACATCTTCTAGGGTTTTGATTCAGCGATCTTTGCTCCCAAGTCACGGTCAATGTTCTATATGGTTTATAAAAAATGGAACTTAGAGAATCGGTTTGGACGATCGAGATTGATTTGCTAGGAAAATTTTGCATATGATAGTGATAGATGCCTGCTGTAGTAGCAGAATTGGAAATAAAATAAGTAAAGATTAGTATCTCTACTGGCAAAGCTCAAAAAACTATTCCATTTTACTGGGGGACAGTTATAAGGATGGATGAGCTTCTAGTTATAGTTTTTCTAATTGTTTTAGGAATTGTTGTTGTGGATACTTAAGAGTTTGGTTTATGTTGTTGTTGAATTGTATTGTGGATGGATTGGCAAGGACAAAATTTAGTGGAGCAGATTATGCAGATAATGCTGTTGGTGTTTGCAGTGATTGCATTCGTTGCAGGTTATGTATTGGGATCGTTTCAGATGATGATGATTGTTTATGCTGGTGGTGTTACTCTCACGGCATTGATTACGGTTCCAAATTGGCCTTTGTTCAACCGCCATCCACTCAATTGGTTGGATCCCAGTGAGGCTGAGAAGCATTCCAAGCCACAGGTGGCTGTGAGCTTGAAAAAGAAAGGCACCAAGAAGTAAGGTCATTTAATATGATCTTAGCACCATTAGGATTTGCTAGGAGACTGAATTGGTGTTTTCTTCTTTTATGTGCTTTGAAGGATACAATCATCTACTTGATTTCCCCAAATTTTTTGAACTATGAAACAATTAATGGAAGAGTATTCTTCTTATGCCCCGTTATCTCCTCCTTGACAATACAAATATATTTCATTGTTGCTTTGCTGCTCGGTATACTGGAAATGAAGATGGGAATTTCTTTTTGTTCTTGGTTTTGGATTTAGTTTTCAATGATTTTGTGTTTTGTTGGGTTGTGCTTGTTAACTTTGGCAGCAGCAAAGGACAAAGAGTCAAAGTCAACGAAGAAAATATCTGTAGTAGAGATTGGTATTGGGGAAAGAGCTTGTGTTATTGAATGCAGAAACACTGATTAGTTTTTATTAGGACAAGTTTATGTCCATGTATATATAGTATGCTGTACATTTTATTTGTTCAAACCTGCTGCAATATTCATATTTTTTAAGTAGCAATGAAATTTTAATGACAATCTATGTCATTTGGGCTCGGGTGAGTATCAGATATAGTATGTTTTTGATATGGATTAATTTATTTTTGAACTTTTTTCCTCGTCACATATACAGAGAATCATACTCATATTTAGATCCGAATAACTTGGATGTGAATATATTTAAGAAGAATGTAAGTGATATAAACAGAGGACATTTCCTTGCTACTTGCAATGGTAATCCTACAGCCATGGGATAAGCTGGTGGAGCCGGGTTGGGAGGTTTTTATTGTTGTTCTAGCAGCTGAGTAGCCTTGATCATGCTATCTTACAAGACATGTTATATGCCGTGTCATGGTACCTAAGCAGATAACACCTTCCAGGTTAGCAAATAATACCTTGCATGTTGGTTTGGATTGCAAGATTTGGTATTAGAGTTGGCTTTAGGGATACTAGTGATTTAACACTGGTATATAGTCTCGCCAGAGTGAGATTTAGTATTAGAGTTGGCTTTATGGGACTGAAATCATTTAATACTTTCCTCAAAGTTGATCCATCTCATATATTAGACCTTAGAACTTAGATCATCTCTGTTCTCACAACGAACCAAGTCATCTTAGCATGTCAATGATGCATTGGAACTAATGTCCTAAACTGTCTACATTTTTCTTAGTGTGAGGTCTAAACCTTTTAATAAGCTTGTGATTGTTCTTTGAGAAATGATTATGTGGATAATGGAAATATAGTATGCTGTGCATGGTGTAAGTTGTTGGACGGTACGGATTTGATGGCGAAAGTATGATCCTGGTACAGGTAAATGGACCACGATTGAAAGCCTCTGTTGGCCGTGATGGGGTTGCTTTGCATGTGGACTGAATGGACAACTTTATGTCTTAGGTGGAAGGTCGAACTTCACAATAGGAGACTGAAGGTTCTTTGGTATTTACAATCCTAAGAACAGGCTCTTGTGTGAAATGAAGAACAGCAGTTGTGTCATGGCCACCATCCATGCCGTTGTGGAGAAGAAGCTTTTTGCGTAGAGTGGCGATATTCGACCCGGAAAACAGTTCCTGGAAGAGGGTTCAGGTTTCATTGACAGGGAACACAAGTGTAGGCTTTTGATTCAGAAACATGGGTGGGAAACTTGTACTCTTCTCGGTCGAGGGTGACCATACTTGACAAACATTTTTGTAAGATCCGAATGCAGCACTCGGTTCGGAATGGCGGACTGGGAATATAAAGCCATCGGGTGGAGTGTGACAATCAAAGCTTGACTGTACAGAATGTCTTTGTACATTATAATAATGCATAAAATTTATATATCATCTTAAAAGACAGAATAATGACATGAATACATTAGTTAGGTACAATATTTCTTCTGTGTTGGCCATCCAAACATGAGCTTAAATTACTGAAGAAGAGGATGAATGGTTTAATAAATTAATGATGAGTCATGCATCATCATCACCATTGGAGCTCTCTCGAAATAGCTCAATTAGTTGCTTCTTTGTATCGGTGGGAGAATTTGCCTTCAAGTTTTTGTAGGTTTTGGGGCTGTTTCCGCGAGAGAAAGTAGAATCTGTTTGATATTCAAGCTTTTGGTCAAGAGAAAATTAGCAATGCCTGCAATTATAATGGGGAAATGAAAAATAAATAAAAAATACTCTCACCACCATTGACACTGAAGAAATCTTCACTATCAGATTCTAACCATGGGTTGGAATCGAAAAAACTCTCCTCTGTTTTACCTGCATACAAATTATACGGTGTCTGATACTTAGACTAGAATCCGAGTTTATGAAAGAACTGCCGAAACAAGCCATTTTGTGCATCTATGTTAAACAAATAGGAGCAAAAGGAAAGAAAAATGATAAACATATATGAGCAAGAACCAAATAGATTTTCAAACTTTCTCACTCAGATAAAATCAACATAAACCGAAGAGCAATACTAAATCTCCCCAAAAAAGAACAAACATCAGAAGACAAGACCAATCCGATGATAAATAAATCAAGAAAGAGAGGTTGGAAAACATACTCAAGTCTCCAAAACTAGTTTGTTGGTCCTTTAATGACGGCTGAGGCTTGGAACCGAGTTCAGCAATGGAGTGCTCCCTTTTTGCAAAGTTATCCTTGGTGGGGGGTTGAAATTGTGCAGCAAGATTCACGTCTGCAGAATCTTTGTTCTTGCAATCTGTAACGCAATTGCCCATATCTTTTTTTTCTGACAATAACCTACAAATTCATGAGACTGGACCTTAACCAGCCTGTTTTGATTCGATGCAAGCAAAGAAAAAGAAAAACAAAGTGAGAAAGTAGCAGGGATATAGGAATATGGGGTTTTTAGCTTGAATTCAACCTACCAAAATGTTAGGAAAGATTTAATAGCAGATCTTCAGTTTATCAGTGTTAAGTTCTATCTCTGGACAACTCTGTTCCTTCCCTTGTTAAAAAACAATGTTGGGAAGTGAATGAGGGAGCTGTTTCTCTTGAAAGCAAAGTAATATTGGTGCTTTGCAAGCATGGGGCCCATTTCAATGATCTTTTAATTTGTTTCTTTATACCGTGCATTATCTTTGTTTGATTGATACTTTTTCTTTCTTACTGGAACCATTGTTTTCATGGCTGCTGCAGGAAAAAGAAAAAGCTTTGCTTTTGGGTTGGCTTCATCATTCCTCATTTGGATCTGTTGAACTTACTTTGCCGACTCAAAATTCGGCCAACATTGGACCTCTTCTCTTCGTATGCTAAGTCCATCTCCAGTTCTCATATCTACTCTACAACATCTCTATCTCTACTCTAAAGATAAAACAGTAATTCATCCCAGGACTATCTCTACATTACCATCAACTCTACTTTATTCACAATATTTAACTATTATAATATTGATTTTGCAAATATAAAATAAAACATATACATTTCTAATAAATATCAAGATAAAAAACATAAATAAAACATTCATAAATTACATTGTAAAAATACAAATAAATAAGAAAATTACAATTCATAATAATAATGCGAAAAAAATATAAGTTACATAATTATATATTTTAATTCTCGGAATTAGAATATCCATTCCACAAATGCTCAATTAGTGTATTTCGTAGAACAAAATGAGCAGTTGCATCTTTGATTTGTCTAAATCGGGTAAGGAATTCTTGAAATTAAGTCTCCTCATCTTCAACAAATTCGACATTCGGAGGCGGTGCAATCTATCTTATAATTTAATCTACTTTAATTTAAAAAAAAATGAAATTGTAGCGCATGCTACAGTGCCGCGCCAGATGTGGCACGCACTGTAGCAATTCTCTAAAGTTGAGATGATTTTTGGCGATGGGCCGGAGAGAACTCTCTAAAGTGGAGATATTCTCCAAAGTTGAGCAGCATTGGAGATGCCCTAAGGCAATGTGTATACATATCTCTTCACGTTTCTTTGCTTTGAATATGTTGAAGATCCCATTTTAGGGATCACCAAGACTTGAGCCTTCAATATTTGCTTTATTCCAACAAATGTAGCTGAAAATAAAGAAAAATTCTACCCTACTTGCTACAACCATTGCTTTCTTCAATTGCCTACCCTACTTGCTGTCATTCTTGTCACTCATCAGTGTATGGATTAAAATAAAAATAAAAATACAATTAAATAGATTATTCTACTAGATTAATTGATGGTTGGTTGAATTTCGTTGTTTGTAACTCTCATCTTTATCTCTCATCATTTTTTTATTATTTATTTTAAAAATGATATTTTGATAAAATGTTTATATCACATAAAGTCTTTATCAAATCTATAAATTAACAGATATTACATATTCAAATACACTTATCACAAGATGGATAAAATTAATGCTTTAACACCAGTTGCATGTAATTTTTTGGTATAACGGGACAGAAATTTAAAATTACAAAAGTGTAAGCAAGATCGTCTCCAATAAACTTCCCAGAAACTGCTGAACCTTCAAGAAAATTTTGGACCTAACCTGGAATACATTTACAGAAAATGAATGGCCAATCTCCGATCCCTAGAAAAAAAAAGTCACTGTCACGGACAAACAAACAAACATGTGTTCTTAGTTTATGTCCCAATTCTTTCAAGATTCTCGGAAACAGTTTTCATCGTTGGTCGAATATCAGGGTCTGCTTCAGTGCATGCAAGGGCCAAGTGAAAAACGGCCAACACTTCCTTCTTTGCATGCACTTCTTGTAATACCATAGGATCCACCATGTCCGACAAAGGGTTTTCTTCTTCGAATCCTTTCCTCACCCGCCTCACGAGATCCGGGATTTCCGTGGAAGTCGACGTGGTCGGCGATAGCTCGGGGGACTTCCCGGTGAGCAGTTCAAGTAAGACCACACCAAACGAATAGACATCCCATTTTTGGGTTGGTCGGCCGCTGGTAACTCGAGCCTCCGGTGCTCGGTAGTTGTTGTTTTGTTCCGATTGGAATGACTTATAAGGAAGTCCACCGATGACACCGCCGGATGAAGAGGGACCGGTGCTGGTGAGGGTGATGAGTTTGTTTAGGCCGAAATCGGAAATGTAGGGTTGGAATTCGTTGTCGAGAAGGATGCTGGATGGTTTGACATCACCGTGAACGAACTTCCTCGGACTGCATTCGTGAAGGTAGGCCAACCCACGGGCGGACCCCTTGGCTATTTTTAGCCTTATTGACCATGTAAGGTTTGCTGATGGCTGACCATTCCTGCCTGAAATAATTTCATTAGCTACTTAATTCACCCACTTCACTAAAAACTTAGAAATGTTACAGAACCGTTAAAAAAAATCGCAAAAAGTGTATATCAACTTATAAGCTATTACTGAATTCACTTTTCTTTATAAATTTTCCATACTATTTGGTATATTACTTCATTTAACGCAACAGAACCAACCTACATAAGCTACAATTAGCAAAAAACATCTAGAAATTCTACTGTAATTTCCCACTAAATTATCAAAATATCATTGTGATTTTATTAGTCTCGATGATTATAAGATCGTATCTGTTTAAAATATTTTTAGTCAATTGACAATGAACACATACACACTTTACATATATATAACTGTTCAAATCTGAGACTTTTAAGAAAAACAATACTCCCTTTTAATATTGAGGTCGCTCAATAAATTTTATCATTGTATTTTCATTTTTAAAGGTTAAATTTGAGAATATAAATAAAAAGGAAATAAAAGTGAATACCCTAACAAAAGTTTAGGCACTTTGGGATTATAATCGTAACGGAAAGGGACTATACTAGCAGGCCCAATGAGTCCTCGTGGGTGAGTAATTACAGTCATAACGGGTCGACCACTTTGGACCACTCCTTTCTACAACATCAAAATAGCTCCTGCCCAACGTTAGATTATTATTGCATGACACATAAAATAAAATTAATTTATTTTAGTACGGATCATTTATAAATTTAAACTTCTATTAAATATTAATGATTTTAGGAATATAAGATAATTTTGTTTCTTAAATAGTCAAAGTTTAAGCAAATAATCTATATTGTCAATTAATTAAAATAGATAAATATATATTATTTTTTAATCATCCGGGCGATTTAAAAAAAACTACTAGAGCAGGAATTCCAAGCTTTATTAACATAAGAAAAAAAATGAAGAGAGAGTAACCTTTGATGGCATTAGCCAAGTTGCCATTAGAGATGAAATCAGTGACGAGAAGCTTTTCATGAGGAGCCCAATAGTAAGCTCTAAGCTTCACAACATTCGGGTGCTTAACCTTCCCAATGGCTTGAACTTCAGCAGCAAACTCCTTATACCTCTGCTGATCGGATCCTCCCTCCCCCAATCGCCTTACAGCAACCGGCACCCCATTGCCCAGCACCACTTTGTAAACTATCCCCAGCCCACTCTTCCCCAACACATAAGCCGATGCTCTCAGCAGCTCGTCCAGCTCGAAGCTGAACCCTTTATCTATGGCCACCAATTCACCTTCCCCTTTCCCCGACATCTCCCCTTTCTCGTGTTCTTCGAATTCCGAATCTTCATTTTGAACCCCAAAGCATGAACACAAAGAACAACGACTCCTTTTATCGTTTTCACCACCAAACTTACTTTTTCCAGTGCAACTGCAACTGTTCGATGAATCCTTCTTTTTCCAGTAAATGTAGACTATAACTATTCCTAATAAAGCCACACCAGCGGTATTGGCTGCCGATATTAATATAATCAAACCAGGGCTGAGCCCTTTTTTCTGGGTTTCGCTTAAATTCGGACCCGAATTTTGAGTCCCCGAAGGGATTATATCGAACTTCTTACAGGGCTTTTGAAGAGGGAACCCGCATAAGAGAGGATTGTTTAGAAATGCCGTTGGTCCTTGATTAGCAAAAGATCCAGATTCGGGTATTTCGCCGCTTAAATTGTTGTTTCTGAGATCGAAACTGACGGTGACCGGCAAGTCGCCTAAGGTTTTTGGGAGCTTACCGGACAAATGATTGCAAGACAAATTGAGAGTCGTCGACAACGAATTTAACTCCCCGATGGTGCTGGGGATCGATCCTTTGAATTCATTGGAGGAAAGATCGAGTTGAACTAAGTTGTCCAATTCCGGCCAAATCCCACCAGAAATTTCACCGGAGAACTTGTTTCGAGCCAGAATAAGCCTCTGCAACTGCTTGCAATTCTTGAGATTATCAGGCAGAGAACCCGACAGCGAATTGTTGGAGAGGTCGAGGTTCTGTAACCTCGGAAGATTGCAAATCAAAGGAGGCAGCGAACCAGACAGGTTGTTACCGTACAAAAACAAGCTGTGAAGCGACGTAGCATTGAACAGTTGGTCGGGTATAGAACCGTAAAAGTTATTGTTGTGAAGATTCAACCTTCGGAGGTAGATTAACGTTCCGAGCTCCGATGCAATATAGCCCCTGAGATTCTTACTGGAAACAGAAATCCCGACGACACGTGGGTCGGGGAAACCTGTAATGTTCATGCAGGAAATGCCGGACCAACGGCAGGGCGTGGTATCGTTTTCGTTCCAGTCGGCGAAAGGTGAGTCGTTACCGGCGGGTTGGTCGACGGCAGATTTTAAAGAGAGGAGAGAAAGGCCGTCAGGGGAAAGAGAAAAGATAGGATTCAGGTTTCGTAACAGGAAGAAGAGAGTAAAGAGAAACAACTTGTTCATTATCAATGAAAATCAACTCAATTTGCTTCCTTAATGGAGAATCCAAAGTGATTGTTTTGAAGAGATGAAGAAATGAGAAAATCTTGGTTAGTTTAATGTGTTTTTTTACAAGGAAGATAAAGGGGATGGGGATGAGAGAGGTTGGTTGGAAGAGGAATTTATGAGAAAGAGACTTGAGGAAGACGATATTTCGATTCGGCGGTGGGACCCTACGTCCCGCCAATAAAAGTCGAGGCCAAGGTGGAGATGGTGGCGGTTGTGGACGAGTTGTAGTACAAGAAAAGCATGTTAGAAGTGAAACAGAAAAATAAATGGTTAATGGATGTGCATTGCTTTTTATAATACCAAAATTAATTCATAACATTTTATTAAAGGATTATTTTTTAAGAATATTTTAGTCTCTAAAATTTTAATTTCAGATAAAACAACCTCTAACTTTTAATTAAATAATTATTTTAATTTTTATTCTTATTTTTCATTTTATGATAAAAAGACTCGTATTTTAAAAATTATTTGTTAACTAATAAATTTTAGACACTATATCTCGTCCCATAATAAATAACTATATATATATATATTGTATATGATATTTACACATCCTTACTTCTCTTCTTTTTACAGGCCCATATACAAATATTACAAGGCCCAACAACCAAAAACCCAAGACCCGTTCCAAAAGTAGGGTTTCCAGAAAACCCTAGTATGCCACTTCTCTTGCTTCAACAACCCTCATCAGCATCGCACGGAGTCATCACCCATGGTCGAGAGTCCCACGCTTTTCTCTCCAAGTTTCATGGTTGCACGACTCTCGTCTCCAACAGCCCCGAAATACCCGGCGCAAGGAACACCCACAACAAACGCATCCAACAACAGTAGAACAATCATATTAGGACTCTAAAAATAGATTTTCCTAGGCTATAAATTCATGTAATCATCCACAAGTTAGGGAGGACATTATCACAGAGATTTATTCACAAGTGTTACACACAATATCACTACGATTAGGCACGAAAATCACACAAAAAAACACCAGAAGCATTTGTAAGACCATTCGGAGTATTTTCGAAGTGAAACAAAGGTAGACATTTTTTACCTCGCTTTCGATTGTCTTTTGCTTTGCATGTTACCCTTGATTCGAAAAGAGACAAAAAAAATAAGCGTTTTTGGCCGATGAACGGAGGCATTTTCGAGATCTATTTTTGTAGATCTAGCCCCCGAGGTCTATTTTCTTAGGAAACAACTTTGATTTTCGGAATGTTTGTGAAAATGGCTTTCGAACGGTGTTAAAGAGACGAGATTTTGTCGTCGATGATCGGCAGCCGACGCCGATCAACGACGACGGCGAGGTGGCTCACGATGGCCGGTTTCTAGGTATTATTCCGACCCACGGCCGTGTTCTTGATATCTCAAGAACACTTGAGAGAGAAAAAATGAGGGGAAGGGGTTTTTTTTTTGTCTGAAACGTGAGAGATGAGCATTGTAAAAAAAAGTTGACATTTATATTGAAGCCCAATAACCCATTTAGGGTCTGCGCGCCGACCCGACCCAGGGGTCAGATCCGCGTGTTTTCGAACCAAACTGTGCTAATCTCAGTTTTAATCCTCCTTGGCTTCAATTCCTTCATTTCACCCCATTAATTCGATTTTAACGCTAATTATATCTCAATTTGGTCACACATTTTCATTTTTATTCATTTTAATCCGTTGTTCTTATTATATATATAACTATTTTTCTTTTATTTATTTTATTTATATATATATATATATCATTTTAGTTTTCACTAATTATTATTATTATTATTATTATTTTTTACTAGTATATACATATTTATATATATATATATACATATTTATATATATATATATATATATATATATTTTACCTTTTGTTTATATTTTCATATTTTTATATTTTTTTACATTTTATTAAATACATATTCACTATTATCTGCCTTTTATTATTTTATTTTTTTTCATTTCATTTTTATTTTTCTTTATTCTTATTTTTCTTTTATATTTGTTTAATTTTATTTTACTTTTGATTTTACTTGTTTACTTAATATGCTATCTTCCTTATTTTATTTGTTTTCTTTGTTTTTATTTGTCTTATATCTTCATTTCTTTTATCTTCTTTGTAGTTATTATTTTTACTTTATTTTTACTTCATCCTTTTTAGTCTTTTTATTTTTATTTGTTTTTCATTATTTTTTTTTATGTAACACGTGTTTCTCGATTTTTTTAAGGGTACATTTTTAAATCAATCTAAGTTAAGCAATTTTGGATCGTTATTTTACCTTTTAAGTTAAACTTACAATTTTCTTACTTAATGACAACTGGAAATTACGTAGTACCGAAAGGGCAGTTCAAGGGTGCTAATCCTTCCTTGATCGTAACCGACTCCCGAGCCCGACACATTTCTGGTAAGACGCATATCAGGTAAGAAATAAGGTATCCGATCAACCTATTTTTTAAAAAGTAAATGATTGGTGACGACTCTTAATCCAATTCTTTTAATCCAAGCCGAAGCCCAATTTCGGGCCAACCGAAATACGGTTCCGACATAAATATGAGTCAAAGTGACTATTTTATCGAACATTATTGACATTTTTTATCATTATATCATATATATATATATATATATATATATATATATTATTCATGTTAGGATGTTAAAAAAGTTTTTAATTTTTGATTATTTATATCTTAAAAGAATTTGATTACTAATTTAAATCACATCGTTTTATTTTTTTAAAAGTAAATTTTAAATAATTAATTAATGATTAATGTTTTTGTTAAAATGATATTATAATATTAATAGTATAATTATGGTTGTTACAATTAGATTATGCCTCAAGGGTCTACATAAGTTCTTAAATTGACTCAAATATATCTCGAATCAGCCTTAAAATCTTTTTAATCCATTGCTTTGTCTCGTATCAATTATGTATCACAATCTTTAACCCAGGGCCCACATTGATTTGAGGGATAACATGTATCGATAGATATATAACCTTGATTGAATCCCTCAAATAATTTCGATAGTAAAATAGAACGTTATTTTTTTAGAGATCTTAAGTTCAAACAGTTGTATTTATAGAGAGTATATATTGCTAATAAATTAAAAAAAAATCTGAATAGTCATATCTTATAATCATCCAAACTATTTAATATATATAACCTTATATTAATGCCATTTGGGAGGAGAGTCTATCATCTTATGTGTTGTTATGACGTAAATAGGGATAGGGAAGGAAGCATAATGTTAACAAAATTGTATACTAAATTTATGCGAAATTAACCACACAGAATCCCACGTTTCTTTAACTTGCGCAATAATGGTTTGTCTTATGATTCATCTGCTTCGGGATTACCATAAATTATTTAAGTAATTTTAACCTCCCTAAACTGGATACTTTATAAATAGAAAAGCTTAGCTTAAAGATACGTTCTTTTTACCACAAATTAATTGTAAGCTAGATCTAAGGCTAAAATCAGGTGGTTTAGCTTAAATGGTTGTCCATTGTTTTCATATGTAATGTGGGGTAAGGGGATGTAAGATAGTAGGCTGCCCCCAATACTAGGTTGAGAGCAACTTCCGTAGGAGACCTCCAAATTATGAAATACCTTCCATAGAACTCGATTCCACGTCCTCAAGATTAAGAACTTTATGCTCTACCAACTGAACTGAATGGTTGAGATAATTGCAATTGTTACAGCATAATGTATTAATCTCATCGTGAAAAAAATAAAAGGTTTTTACCATATTATTTAAATTTTAAAGCATATTGATTAGTAGTCCCATCAACATCATTATTATTATTTAATATAATTTATGTTCATTTTATGGCTCATGTTTGAAGTTTCATATTTTCCTTATTTTTACTAATATCGTCTTCTATATTTAATTCTAACTCACTACTATTATTATTAGAATATTTAAATTAGTATAAATTAGGAACCCAAATAAATGACTTCAGTGGTTAAAGGTAGGAATGAATAAAACTCAATTTAACTCGACTCGATCTAATATGGAATTATAATTTCATAAATTCGATTTGACTTGAAAAAATTTCAAGTTCAAACCGAGTTGTAAAATACAACTCGAATAATAACTGAAATAACTCAAAATTTTTAACAATTATTGGATTAATTTTTAACTTTGTGTCGTGTCACTCGACTCTATATGATATATGTATGTATATGGTTACAAATAATCATTTAAATTGGAATTAATTAATATCATAATATTATAAATATTTACAATTAAATTTAAACAGAAACTAAAAAATTCGACCCAACTCAACTAAAAAAAATTTCAAGTCAAGTTCAAGTTATAAAATAAGACTCATCAACTCAAATAACTCGAAATTTTTTACTTGACTCGATCGAACGCTCACTGTTGAAAATTCAATGCATGAGAGTGGAAATTAAAAGCACATGTGCGGCTGTTTTTTAAATCAACAAGTGGAGAGGCTAAATAATTTTGGTGCATGGGCTGCTAAATTTTTTTATTATTTTGTAATAGGGATAATTAAAAAATTGAGCCATTGAACTTTAAGATATTTACAAAATTAGCCCTTAAGCTTCAACTATAAATACTCTAGCTCATTTAGCTTCAAAATCATCCCAAAATCCCAAATCATTTATTTCTCCCAATACTAGAGAGTTTCTTGTGAGTAGTGAGTGTTTTGTAAACACCTGTAAATTTTCTCTCTTAGTAAAAGATCTGCAGCAGTCCGGAGATGTAGGCAAAATTGAATGAACTCCGTTATCAATTTCGGATATTATTTTTCTGTTTTTATTTCGCATTCTCACTAATATGGTTATAGAGAAATTACTCGTACTGGGTTTATTTCCCAACAACTGATATCAGAGCTTTTGGTTATGAATTTTGTCAATTTTTTGCGAGGTTACTATTCATATAAATAGTAAATTTCGTGAATAGTAAAATTTTATCGACGATACGACTTTGTCGACGGGGGTGTTCTAATACACGGTGGTTTGCAAGAATTGTCAGAAACGATCCAAACGAAGCCATATTCGAGTGGGAGCGATGGCTGCAGACGAAGGAAATGTGAAAATTGAGAAGTTCGATGGTGCGGATTTTGGCTTTTGGAAGATGCAGCTTAAAGATTTTCTGTACCAGAAAAATCTATATCAACCTCTCTCAGGAAAGCAACTAGAGGGCATAAAGAATGAAGACTGGGCTCTTCTCGACAAATAAGCCCTCGGAGTTATCCGACTGACGTTATCCCGCAATGTTGCTTTCAACATAGCAAAGGAAAATATCACGGC